AGAAAAATTTACAATAGACATTTCACTATCATCAATTAGAAAATTTTGAAAATTGTTATCTAAGAACTTATTTAGAATAAGTGTAATGAATGAAAAATAGGATTTTATCTTTAGATATTTGATCAAATAAGATCATCAAAATCTCAGATAATAAATTACTAAAATACATCTAAAGAATTGAGTTAAGTGAAGTAATTTTTTGTTTTTTGTTTTTTTGCATTGTATGAGAAATAAAAACTATTAACCCCCACAAAGCTTGAGAATTTTAATTTGCTTCGTTAAATTTGAAAAATATATTTTTTATGTAAAAAAATTTAATTAATTTTAACCAATAATATGTCGAGATAAATGTTTACAAGTAACGTGACATAATGAAAGAAAATTTTAACGCGTTTTATTAAAAAAAGAAGAAGAGTGATAAAAAGTAAAACAAAAATGTAATAAAATATGAAAAGAAAAGAAAGTATTATACGATTTAATTGTGATTAATTTAATAGTGTAGAATAATTAAATTGCGAGCATTTTGCTTAATGTAGTATTTTTATAATCACCGTCGACGTAGTGCTGAATTGTCCGAAAAAAAAAAAAGAAAAATTGTCGGGTCCCTCTATATATAAAAGAGAGGTGAGGAGAAGAAGGCGAGATTGCAGAGTGGTTGAGTGTTGAGAGAAAGAAAAAGAAAAAGAGGATGGGCGCAGAAGCAAATGGCGGCGACAGCCAACTCAAATTTCTGATCTACGGTCGTACCGGTTGGATTGGTGGTTTACTCGGTAAGCTCTGCCAAGAGAGAGGGATCCACTATGAGTACGGAACCGGCAGGCTCGAGAACCGGTTGTCGTTGGAAGCGGACATAACGGAGGTCAAGCCCACCCACGTGTTCAACGCCGCCGGAGTCACCGGTAGACCCAATGTGGACTGGTGTGAATCGCACAAGGTCGAAACCATCCGCACCAACGTCGTCGGAACTCTCACCCTCGCCGACGTCTGCCGCCAGCGCCGCCTCATCCTCATCAACTACGCCACCGGCTGCATCTTCGAGTACGACTCCTCCCACACCCTCGGATCCGGCATCGGATTCAAGGAAGACGACACTCCCAATTTCACCGGATCCTTCTACTCCAAGACCAAAGCCATGGTATCCACAACACAATTTTTAAATAAAAATTAAATTCTCTTTTTTTTTTGGATCTCTGACTCTAATTTATGTGATTCGGGACAGGTGGAAGATCTGCTGCGGAACTACGAGAACGTGTGCACGCTGCGCGTGCGGATGCCGATTTCCTCGGATTTGTCGAACCCGCGTAACTTCATAACTAAGATCACTCGATACGACAAGGTTGTCGACATTCCGAACTCGATGACCATATTGGACGAGCTTCTCCCACTTTCTCTGGAGATGGCGAAGAGGAATCTGACTGGGATCTGGAATTTCACGAACCCTGGAGTGGTGAGCCACAACGAGATTCTTCAAATGTACAAGGAATACGTGGATCCAGATTTCACGTGGAACAACTTCACTCTGGAGGAGCAGGCTAAGGTCATTGTTGCGCCCCGAAGCAACAACGAGCTTGACGCTTCCAAGTTGAAGAAGGAGTTTCCTCAGTTATTGTCCATCAAGGACTCCCTCGTTAAGTACGTGTTTCAGCCCAATCGCAAAAACTGAAAAACCCTCTCTACCTTCTTCAATTCAGATTCTCTGCATTTTTAATCTTATCTTTCTGTTTACTACATTATAATAAATTACTTCCAGTGTTCAATTCTTGCATCATCTCTTTCTCTTCAGTTAGAGCCATCGACTTTTTTTTTTTTTTTTTTTTTTTTTTTTTTTTAATTTGCTTTAACGATGATGAATAAGAATAACTCAAGGATGCTTGGTTTGATTGAAACTCGAACACAACAGTAACACGTCTTACGTGTTGTCGCTAGGACCCTGTTAATATGATCACCAGGAGGAAGAGGATAAAGTCGCTGTTTTCATGTTGGACTCACTTTAAATGTTTGGGCCTTCGGATTAATGTTTCTTGGCAGATCATAAACATTCCTCTACTTAGTATAAACACACCTCCTTTTTTTTAAAAAATATATATAAAATATCTAAATTATCCTTTTAAAAAAAAGATGAAATTCCTAAATTTACACCTCCCTTCCCCGCACCCCACACTCCACACTCCACACTCCACACTCCTCTTCTTCCCAAAGCCTCTTTCCGCTCAATATCATTAAGCAATATACTTTTACAGTCATTCTGAATAGAAAAAAAGAACTAGCCCCACCATAACCAGCATAAGAAAGGTTCTTTCACAGTCATTAGCATTCCGGAAAATACTTTTACAGTCATTAGCATTCCGGAAAGTACTTTCCGGAATAGTAAAATTATTGTTCATATAATTCCGGAAAGAACTTTTCGTAATAGTAACTTTAATATTATGGAAAGTATTTTCCGGAATTATGTAACAAAACATTTCCGGAAAATACTTTTCGAAATAAGAATTTAATATTATGGAAAGTATTTTCCAGAACATTTTTATATAATTCCGGAAAGAACTTTTCGTAACAGTAAGAAGAAGAAGAAGAGGATTGCCAGAAAGAGAAAGAAGATGGGCGTGCGAGGTGCGGGAAAAAAGAAGAAGAAGAGGAGTGCTAGAAAGAGAAAGAAGAGGGATGCGCAATGTCAGCAGGTGGTCTTGTAAGAGAAATACTCTTACTTGTTCTATGCAAAGACACACTAGTACAAAAATGACTTTTAAAATCAGAGTTTTAAAATCAGTCATAAGGTAGTCATTTTAAAAGTGACGCGGTGGCCTGTATTGCTTTCAGTACGACCCGCACTGCAAGCAGAATGGCCTGTACTGCTTGCAGAACGGGCTGTTCTGCAAGAAGAACAGGACGTTCTGAAATCAGAACGGCCCGTTCTGGTGCAGTTCTAGTGCGGGGAAGGAGGGTGCGGGAAAGGGAGGTGTAAATTTAGGAATTTCATTTTTTTAAAAGGTAATTTAGATATTTTATATATTTTTTAAAAAAAAAGGTGTGTTTGGAGGTGTGTTTATCATCTGGCATGTTTCTTTGATCTATGATCTCAAAATATCCCATGTTACAGTGGCCCACCAAAAAACAATACCACATGGCATGGATCTGGTAAAAAAGATTCTCCCATGCGTTAAAATTTCTTTCTTGAACACCATTAGATGATCGGTAAACATTAAATTAACAAGAATTATTCGGTCAATAAATTAATTAATTTTTTAAGAAATAACTTGTGTTTTCGAATATTTATATCTGTTAACCAATCAACCAAACATTAATCTACATATATGGATAAAAAAAAATTAATCTACATAAGAAGCGTGAAATTTCAAATATATGAATACTAAGGTCATTTTTAATTTTTTGTTTAAAGATTAACTTTGCCTATCATTTCGTAAATTACCAAAGGATAAAACTTACAGTGATACTATGAAGTAATGAAGAAAAATAATTGAACATAAATTAAAAGAAAAGACTAAGTTGAGATAGAATAAACTTGGATTTATGCCAAAAAAAAAAATAACAGAGAGGCTACAATAGAAGTTGTTTATCTTCTATGAGGGTTGATGAACAGGTATTGAAGCAAAGAAAGTAACTTGCATATGATTTTCATTGACATAAGAAAAACATGTGATACATACAAGATAGATGTATGTGTGACTTATATCTCCACTAGAAAACACATACATGATGTGAGAACCTAAAGACATGACTAAGGACTTTTTTTATATATAAATGGATGCGTTTATTTGAGAGATACAAAAAACTATCTCCAAATGCAATTTTTTTTACAAATAACATAATTTTAGTTGTTGTGGTCGCGGCAATGTGGGAGGAGTGTTTGGATTTGCGGCAGCCTCCGCCTACAAGGTTGGGAGAGTTTGCAGTTGTTGCTCACTGGTGATCCCCGAGTCTGTGGCTATATCAACCACGCCAGCCATTATTTTTTTTATCTAATATGTTCTCGTTGGATTATGGAATTGTAAGTTCTATGCCATGAAGAAATGAAATGATATTTTTTGAAGAAATTTGTTTTTTTTTTTAAATAAAAAAAGTATGTTTGTCACACCCAGCAGAGAGACCTTACTTCAGATGAGATGACACCAAATTCTTCACAAATTCACAAGCATAAAGGCTATGTTTTTTATTATATTAAAATTAGTGAAGTTCATTCTCTCATTGTGCTAATATTAATTGGTATTATATCTAATCCTTAAATCTAAAAGTCTTGTTTCAAATTTTTAAGTTTGTAAACATAATTAATTTTTAATATTATTTTTTATTATCTAAAAGTTTAAAAATAAAATAATTCAAAAATTATGTATACAATTACTTTTACATATAAAAGGAGACAGATGCATAAAATAATATGTTCTAATTAAAATATATAATTCATCGCAATTGATTCTACAGGTAATCATTTCAGATCACAACCATATAATATTAAATTCATAAATCTTACTATAGTGAAACACTTGACCACCCTACACCATATAGCCTGAGTCACTAAATAAATATCAAAATTAAAAACAAATTTTCTTGTTATTCGACCAATTATATTCTATTATAATATAGTAAATGAAAAGTGAAAGTAGCAAAAAATATGTCAATATAGATATATTTTTTTTTAAAAAAAAAAATCAAACTTGATACCGAAAAATTTATAACTAGCGCAACTTGCACAACCAGAATTAGACCTTATTAGTTGTGTTGATAGATATATAATCACACACAAAAAAACTACACAAAATAATTATAGACAAACATATTAATAAAGAATCTATCGAGAAAAAGAAAATAAAAATTTGATTAAAGTAATTTAACTCCTGAAAAACTGGAGACACTGATGAAGAGTTCTCATGGTTTTAAACCATGTAAAACAGATATAAGACAAGAAAGACACTTAGGATAAATATTAGAAAAGATCTCGATGAATATCCCTAAAAATTTATTTTTTTATTCAAAGACTAATTTGCATTCATTAAAATGCAAAAAAATACACCGAAAATGATAATATATAGACTTTGAGTAAACACATCTTTAAAGAGTACAATGAAGTATTTGAACTGAGAACAGTTGCCACCCCAGAAACGATTTACCTTCCAATCTTCCATTATGTTATCGAAATAACAATACCCCTTAATTTTAGGCTAAGTTGACAGCTAGTTGTACATGCTCAACATCAGTGGCCATTAGCGACCAAACCGTTCACAGCGGAAGTCAAACTGCTTTCTCTAGCTTTCGTTGCATAGAACCTCCGATACATGGAGTCAACTTCTGTGAGATAGAATGTGCCAGGAGATAAAAGGCTATCGTTCTTGCTTGTCACAAACTCCTTCGCACCATACCTATGCTCCATTAGCTTCAGGGTTTCAATAAACTCCTCCGGATGAACCTGCATAAAAATAACTCATCAAAAGACTTTCAATTTTATAGCACATGGGATTCTGTTTCCACCATCTTATTAAACATTACAACAATAACCAAAACAAAGGACTGATAGACTCCAACCATTAGGTTCCACATTGACTTTTAAGTTAATCTTCAAGTTCTAGGATACTTTCGTAAATGATATATCTATCTTTTTTTGAAGTTTTGCAATTTCAGTAAGGACACAACTGAAAGGAAATCTTTGAAGTTACCAAAATTTCAGTAAGGACAACTAAAAGGAAATAAAAGAAAGAAAAACTTTGAGCACCTATATATGCATGTTTGATTCAACTAAATTTAAGGAAATAATTTTTCACCCCTAGAGCTTTTTTAAAAAAAATCCGCCAAACATGCACATAGTATCTGCCAGAAACAAGATCAACCGAACTTGAAAATTAAAATAAACCGGGAAGTCTTTTGTTGAATTGATCTCCCAACTTGCTATTCTATCAACTATGATTCTATCAAGGTGATTCAGATTCGAGAGTCAAGTACTAGAATATACAGCGTGTTTACACTAAAACCCAGGAAATTTGAGTCATTGCCCTCATTCCCAATCTTACACAATTCCAGAACCGACACTACTCCCCTCTTCTCTGTTATTTGTTTCCCTCCTATTTACTGGTTATTCTCTCAATTGTCTAACTCTTATTTCTATTAATTAGGACAGCTATCAAAAAGTAACAGATGTTCACCGCTGCAGCCCTTCCCATTCATTCTAACATAAACTTTCTTGACAGGGGGCCTAACAGTATCCTCTGTCCGCTAAGAATTTGTCAGTTGTCAGTCAAATATTTGTGAAAACAAATGCATTCTTTCATTTTTGGTACGGCTACCTTCAATTTAATGATAAACCTGAATAACACATGTGGAATACTTCCTTATTTGACTAGACTCCAATAGATCATTACCTCGTGTCTTGATTTCAATTTTCCATCAACATTCATCACTCTAGCAATGTTTGACAAGCTAAATGGGCCTTCACCGTCTTGAAATCGCAAAGAAAACATTGTGGCAGTTAAGCCACTACCATATGAGAATAATATCACCCTATTACCTGCCTGAAAATTGTAAAATGTATATATTTATTAGAAAGCACGAAACATTCTTGTGAGGAAGTTTGTCAAAGATAGGGGTCAGAACATTCACCAATGTGCTATGTTTGTTGTGAATAAGGGATGCAAATGCTGCATAGAGAGACGCAGTGTACATGTTGCCAACTTGTTTTGGAATCAAAGTAGTTGGTTGTACCTTCTCATCATATAGAGGCTTCGCAACTTGCTGGGATGCCTGCAAATCAATGATATGGCACATCATCAGCAAATAATTTCAATGCAGTCCATTTCCAATGGAATTCTATGAATGTGAATTCACATCTTGATTTCCAATGCCAAGGTAAAAAGAAAAACTAAGCAGTATCTACAAGAAACAGGAGATTATTGATTTTTGGTGATAGGGTCTCAGACCTTTTCAAGATCCCGACTTTGGTAGCTCTCATCACCAGATAAAGTTGCAAAAGGTCCCAGCTTTTCTCTGGCAACCTCATCCACAGAGCTGCAATCATAATCAATTTTAAAACACCAGCACATTAACTGAATAAAAATAAAACAACTTTTCCAGAGGATGGGGGAAAGAAGAGGACCTGGCATTCCTCAAGAAATCATCAAAAAACAACCGAGCAAAACTCTTCTGTACAAGCTGCAGATACAGGTGGAATTAGAAGAAATTTACGGGCATACTGTTGAAAAACAAATGTGTGTGTGTGTATATATATATATATATATATATATATTTCTCTAAGAGTAAGTCTTGTGGACTTACTCCACTTAATAACTCATATTCTACATTAAATTTTAACGATCTAATCATTAAATTAAAATTTTTTAATGTATATATCAAATCTGCAATTTTTTAAAAATTTCAAAATTATTTGATATTCTATTTTATTAATTCAAATTGATAGATAATTTTTAATTCAATAGTTGGATCATTGAAATTTGATGAAAAACATAAATTATTGAGTGGAGTAAGTCTAGGTAAACTTACTTTTAGAACAAGTGAATCTCTCCTCACACACACAAATATATCAATTAAGAAGATACATCAATGAGATAAAGAAATATATGGAGCATGTTAAAGGGAGCATTATGTATAGAGTTGCCGTATTAAAAACTAGATCCTTGAAAAATCTAAATACCTTGTTATAAGGAGAGTGAAATACAAAGTATTCAGCATCAGAAAGAGAAAATTGTTTTCCCTCAAATTTCTCATACCTGCGAAAGTAAATATGGTTAGGTACTTTGTTGGTCAATTATTATCGATGTTTTGAACACAATATGAGTGTTGAAGTATTTCTGATTACTAAGCAGAATGATTATCAGCATTCAGCAGG